ATGTTTTATATTTATGTTATAAAAAAACTACAAACTACCAAAAGGGTTTAAATCCCATGTTTATAAAATTGTAATTTGTTACCGCCTTAAAGTTATTAATTTTGTTCTTTTTATACATGAAAAACAGATTCAAACCAGCTGCTCCAGAATTACTTTGAGAGGATTTCAAGCAATAGACGTTGAAAATAAGGGCTACCTTACACCCGATTATTTAAAAAATTTGCTCACAACGCAAGGAGAAGTTTTATCAGAGGTAATACATGCATTTGCAACAGTGACGAAAAATGTCCATCAATGTTTTTTTACTAAAAAATACGGTTGTAATGGTTTTGTGATTACCCAAACTATCTAAGCCGTTTTCCAAAAGCATGGTAAATCGATACAAACAATTATGATTTCGATTTTTTGTGTAATTGAATAACATTGTCACAGAAAAGTTAAAAATATATGACATCAATATGAATCGAGTTGAATTATTTTGCCAAATTGATCGACATTACTGTAGAAGATAGGGTATGGAATAATGCTATAACGCTGTCTAATTGTTAATAATAAGTATAATAAATTTATACTTAAGTAATTTTAAACAACCAATTAAAAAAGTTCGTCGTGCGAATATTGTTATGGCATTTTTGTTTCATTCAATTAGGAAGAAGTATCAGAATTTATGCGCATCGCCGTCGACCCAAGCACAGGAAACATTCCATTCGAATTCTGTGTCAGCAAACTAAAGGTAATTTTATCAAGCTATTTTAGTATTGGTCCAATGTCTTTAATCGTAACTGCTTCGATTTTGAATTTTCAGTTCATTCCTAAGCCATTAACTGATATTTACTATCTGGCAAAAGCCTCTATGGAAGAAAAACCAAAAACGAGACGGTACAGTACGTACAGGCAAAGTGTTATACAGCAATAAAGAGATTCATAAAAATTAGCATCCTCCATTAAATTTTTTGTATCTTGTTGAAAAGATGTGAATAAATAATATTCAGTATAAATAAATAATAAACAGTATAATTATGCTACATACACAATCATAACGCATTTAAATTAATTAATTTTAATTATTAACTATATAACCAAACCTTCCTATCTTTCGACTAAAAGGAATATTGATATTCTAGACCAGAAAAACACACTTAGATAACTTATTAGTTATTGACCAAAAAATAATCATAATTTCTCCCTACAACATATAGTTCCATATAAGCATAATCGCCTATTATATGATAATAGATGGGTTATTCCAATTTTATTAATAAGTAATAGCAAAGATTCATTTTGAATCCAGACAAATCGCAAAAAATCGAAACATTGCGGACAAAGACCTGATTCTGGAACAAATATTGCTTCTAGAAAGAAACGGATAGCCAGCCAGGTGGAAATATCCCAATGTACAAAAAAAAGTAAAAAAATTAAATAGTTACTTAACAAACAAAAACCAAAATAATACCTTGCTGTCTTGATGAAATAATCACTTAGGTACTTACCTAGGGTGCTTATTGCCTGTCTTGAGCTTTCATTTATCACGTCCAGACTTGTTTATGTATCATAAAGCAAAAACTCAAAGAACTTATTCAGCAGCCAAAAATATTATTTGAATAGATCATCAAGATGTTGTTTTTGTGTTTCTAAAGCTGGTCCTAGTACATAATCTGGCATGAAGATTTGGTGCTATCAGTTTGAATCCTAAATATTATCCAATGTTGTAAAAGTGTGTACTACATGAAAAAAAGCATGTTCATATTGTCACAATTTAGTAAAATAATATATAATATATTAACAATATAAATGTTAATATTGAGATTTTATATAATACCTACATGAACAACCAAATATCTGATATTTCAGTTTGAACATTAAGTTCATCTCAATTTTCAATGTAACCTCTGAAGAATTTTCTTATATTGGACTGAACCAAAATAAAATTTAACTGAAATATGTGCTTCAAAATTTCAATTATTAACAATTGTTTCTTTAATTGGATTGTTTTTTAATGCCTTTTATAAAGCAGCAGTTACCTTTTGTTTGAATTGATATAAAAATGATAATAAAATAACATTTATGGAGAGTAGTATTGATAGATATAAAATATCAAACTTACCTATTTTAAAAATATCACATTTCTGAAAAACAATAATAAGGTTAAATCTAACATCACATAGTAATTTTGATAAATAGTTGAATAACTAAATTACAAATTTAGAAAAATGTACAAGGCAATATAAAGGATTTGTTGACAAAATTAATTTCATTATCAAAATATTTTAACATTTCTCAAAAATATGAGATATTAAAGACTTAATGTTGAGAAATATACTTTCATCAATTGTCAAAATTGATAATTTTAAGACTTGGGCAAAAAATTAATAGATAATTCAAATATCAAATAAACACATTTATAGCATATTGTTTATATAATAAGTCGATGTTTCTGTAATACAGATTCGTTGTAATGTTCATTACACATTCATGTATATAAAAAGAAAAAACGAAGCTTGCAAAATACAGAATTATTCATAACAGAAACTGTACCAAAAAAATATGGTATTTATAAATAAAACATTGTATAAAAATAATAAACTGGCTTTATAACAATTTATAAATATATAAATTAGCTAAGACTTGTGTGTGTATATATTATTTACTATAATTTAAAATCTTCAAATTAAATCATTTAGAATACTATATGAACTGCACTCTGATATATGCATAAAATTTTCTCAAATTTGGTATATTCGATCACAACATAAATAATTTTTAGTATGAGAAAATTTCATTTTTAATTAATAAAATTGTTTTCTAGTATTAAATATATACACACGCACAACTAGAAGATTATAATATTTAATTAAAATCAGATAAATGCTGTAATGACATTGAATTTAAATTAAAGCAACGATATTCTTTGCTATCACCTGAAACATTATTGAAAATTATCAGCATGAAAACTAATTGATTTTATCCTTGTCCCTTTTGTAAAATAAATAAAAAATGATATCATACACTGTCTGTAGAGGAACAATATATTACGCAATCACTATTGTTATGATAATAAAATACATATGAACAGTGAATTTAATAAGTTACACATTGGATTGATTCTTTTAGATTGAAATATTTTATTTAAAGTTTGTGTTTTAATTCATCTTTAGACATATATACTGATCAATTATCAAAATTATTTATATGTAGTAAGAAAATTTGTTTAATTGAAGTTTATTATTAGCTTTGATAAATAATTTAACTTGATCACTGTCTCAATTAAAATCTATGCCAATATCTTTCCTTCATTCTGATTTCTACAATTTTTATAGGTTATTGTAATAAACAAATTTACACTTTTTATAACAATTAAATTAAGAAGAGTTTATTATATTTGAAACTGCAATTTAATATAACTACATAATGAAAAAATCACTGATCATAACAATTATAAAGTCTTTTCTTTATTTCATGTTTAAATTAATTAATATTAAGCAAGCACACTATGGTTGAGCGTTTTTCTTAGTTATATTACTATTCCACAGAGTCCTCAAATATAAATAATTCATTCACTCAAACACATCTTCAGGATATGATAAAGATATCAATCTTTCTCTGTTCCTTAATATGAACTTACAATATTCCAAAAGTTAGTCACTGCAAAATGAGATGTAAACATTACATTTCATCAGTAAAGCAACGCTATATTGATTATCACAATTTTTTCAACATAAGCTATCATTTCAGACAGCCTTCTAATAAAAACAGGAACAAATTTTGTCGATTTGATAAAACACCACCGCACACCAATATTCATAGCACTAGTATCCATTTCATTAGTTTTATTAAAGAATCACAAAAATCGCACTTTCAGCTAAATGTACTCCACATACATTATAACAGTATGATAACAAGTTGACACTACTTTTGGGAGAATTTTATGACTATCAGCAATGAATCCCTTTCGACTTCTAAGATGAACTCGAAGCATTCATGTTGCCAAACATTCCCGCATTGAAAGTAGTTTGTCCATGTTGCAAGCTCTGTTGAGCTTGCGCTTGGGCCTGCTGCGCTTGTTGTGAAACTTGTGCCTGTCGTCCATGCTTTGGCACTGGTGGTTGCAGATATTCATGTCTTGATAATGACAGCACATCCATCCTACTCTCTTTACTATATGATAAACAACCCCGAATAAAACTCTGAAAAGTTAAAAGCCAATAATTATAATAATTTTATATATATGATTTCAATTTGCAGAACTAAAAGCTTCAATTTGTTCTCAGAACTCATTTGATTTTTCATTTGTAAATATTTTTTATATTTTATTTTTATGTTTATAAAAATTGTTTGAATTGAAAGTGCTCGAGTCAAAGACTCTTAAATAATGAATATTTATATATTTATAACAAAGGCATTATCTAATTCTAGTTCTAAGTCAACTGTTAGTATTAGTTCCAATATTAGAATATTAATATTCTTCAACTGGATAATGCCCAAAAATCAAAGCTGTTGTACTAAAGTCTAATATATGTTAATGACAAATGTATTATTTTATGGTTTATCAATAGAGATGTCTACCTTTGCTTCTTGCGTCACAGTGGGTTTGTTTGCAAATTGAACATCAGTCGCCTTAAGTATAGTATTTTCTTCTAAAATTGTAGCTTGTGATTGATTGTGTCCAAATGGCTTCTTTCCATAAAGACATTGATAAAATATTACACCTACACTCCAGACGTCGACCTTTGATGATATTTTAGGAGGATTTTTGCCAACAACAAAACATTCAGGAGGTAAATACCTGGGAAACAAACATGTTTGATAAGGTAATTGATAAAATTGCACTTTATCTACAAATAAAGATTAAAATTATTTAAATAATAATAAAATAATAATAAATCGTTTAAATCATATTCATGTGTTTTTCAACAAGTTGTATTCAATATTTAATGAAAAATGTTAGAAATAAAACGTTTTTCAATAACTAGAATAAATGGTTGTTAAAAAATAAAAAAAGAGTATTTGTAATTAGTTCTGATTAGTTAATTTACCAGTATGTTCCAGCTCCTTGAGATGTTAGATCCATCCCATGATCTGGATTGTAATTTTCTTCATCCATGACTTTAGATAAACCAAAATCAGTAATTTTGATTTCACCACAGACATTACCTTCCGTTAATAGAATGTTTCCAGGTTTTAAATCATAATGTATTACAGGCGGCTTGATTTCATTCAAATATTTTAATGCCGAAACTACTTGCATGACTATTGATCGAGCTTCCCTTTCTGGTATAGTCTTGTGCTATAAATATTTGTTTTTTAATAAGTTAGATAATTTTTCTTAATATAAAAATTTATGCTATTAATATAACTATAATTTTATTAATAGCATAATAGATATCAAATGCGTTTTCTTACAAACCTGTTTCAAATAAAAATCTAAATCATGACCATCACAGTATTCCAACACAGTACAAAATGAATTGGCATCTATTTCAAAAACATCATATAATTTAACAACCCTTGGATGATCTAAGGCCTTATGAATATTATATTCCCGAAGTGCATGCCTGTAAATAATTCACATATATAACAGCACATATTTATAATTGATAAAAAATAAAAAATGTTATACAAAAAAAATTATATATAGTTATCATTGTATCAAAACATCAAAATCAGATTGTAATACAAAGATGAGTTAAATTACTTGATTAGCTCAATTGCAATTAAAATCATATTGTTCATGAAGACTCACTTTATGTAATTGGCTTTCTTATCTTCCTTCCAGTCTTTATTCAATTGGTGAACTTTACATGCAACATATCTTTGTTCTTTAAGGTCAAATGCTTTGTGTACTTCTGAAAATCCACCTTTTCCTAATAACATCAACAATAAATATCTTTCATTGAGTACGGGATGAGAGTTGAAACGCGATTGATCTTCATTATGAATACGCTTGAGTTCACGAATGTGTAAATTTCTTTCTCTTTCCAACTTTTCCATTTCTAATTGAAGATCAGCATCTTCTTTTTTGAGAGCACTTTGTCTTAACTAAAATAATAAGGATTTTACATAAATTTTAAACATTTTTGTAGCCAATTAAAATTAAGTGAATAGACAGAAAGTTTCAATTTTCGCTTCTAGCTCAATACAGAATACATGTATATTTTCATATATAAAGAATATTTATTTACTATCAAATGTTGTGATTTATAATTCTTACTTTAAGTGCATAATTGAAACAAAATTACATTTAAAAATTCATGAGTGAAAATTATAATAGTTTAATATTCTACAAGATATGAAAAGATAAGTACACTAAAAAATCTGTAATAAATATACTGAAATTTGACTTGCATGTTGAAATCTATCGCATTAAGTTATGAAAAAATATAATTCATGATAAATTAGTATTCATAAATCATAAAATTTCAAGCCCTATTTAATATTATTTATGCAGCAAATAATGCTGATTATTTTGATGATTGCAGTAGAAATGAATCTGGTAATTTATTATGCATTTATCTGGGATATGAATCATGTTACAAATATTCAAAACATAATATATAGATGTGGAATTTACCGCGCGACTCACTTTGAGGATCTCATCGCTTTCATAATATTCCTGCCAAGAGAATCCTCCTGGTACAGGATCTGGTTTCAGAAATTGATTTTGTGACTGAGATTCACTACCATTTAATAATCCTGCGGAGGTTTGTTGTAAATTTGCTGCAGTTGTAGATGAATTATGTCTCTTTCGACTAGTGTCAGTATTTGGAGGTCGCTTTTTTGACAATAATTTCTTTTGCCTATCTATTTCTTCCCGCTCTGCCGTTATTTCTTCTTGCCGCCTGCATTTTTTTAAATAGATTAGTTTTAGTAAAATGTATGTGTTAATTTAAATTTTATGCAATATTAAATTAACTGCTCATGTAATTGTATATATGGAGCCTCAAAAATAAAGTGTTCTTCAAATAATATTCTAATATTTTGTTCAATCTTAAGATTTATGTAATCCTCATAAACGCTTTGAACTCACCTTTGCAATTCTTGAAAAGCATAGCCGTCCGTCCAGTTTTCTTGAAATGTAGCACCAACCCTTTGTGTCACAAATTGTCCTAACCTTAACCTGTTTTGCATGCACCTCTGTCTCGCTTCTTTCTTTTCTATATTTGACTTTTCTTTTAATAATTTTTTGACAACATCAACACATTTATTACTGTGCGACTTATGTTGTTCTAAAGCCTAAAAAAAATGAATGTATAAAAAAATTATTTGAAGATCTAGCTTTTCTACTATATAAATGCTATGCAAACCTTTTGCAGAGTTACAATTTGTTGTTTCTGCTCTTCTATGGTCCTATTCTGATCTTCAATTTTATTGTTACGAGCTTCCAAGTCCGTAGAAGTTTGCGTCTCAAATTCCTGTATTCGATGACAAGTTAAATCAGTCTGTAAAGGCAGGCAGATCATAATTAACAGTTAAACTTAAAGAAAATGAAGATTTTTGTAAAAGGCTGAATATATACAAATTAGAATTTAAATAACTATGTACTACAAACCAGAAAATGAAGTGATACCTGTATTAATTTGGGTGCCATTGGAGGCATTGCAGATACTGCAAGATTGGGGATGGATTGAGGCCGCCCAGGAGCAGATTTATAAAAATCTGGTGGTCCAGGAACTCCTGAAGGCAGCAACGGTTGCGGACTTGGAGGAAACTGCAATGACAAAAGAAATAAATTGTAAATCATATAACATGATCAAAATGAAAAATAGACTAGTTAATAAATATGATCATATTAAAGTTTTTATAACTGGATTTCAATTTTTTGTTAAAACTTTTGTCACAATAAAATAGCGATATCGGACAATCGTCAATATTCTTTAAATGCTTGATGTATTATTTATAAAAATGATATTGAAAATAGTATAATTAAGTTGAAAACTAGTAAATATATAAAGCTGTTCATAGCGGTATATTTCCATTATTTCCAGTTAGTGTCATTTATAGAAAATCGTGATAGTAAGCAATTAATTAATTAAAAAAAGATCGATTTTTACACTCTTCGCTCACCATTGGATAGGCTTGTTGTGGCGAGGGACTCTTGGCGCCCGGCGTATGCTGCCTAATCGGACTGCTACCGGGATGTTTTTGGAAGTATTCGTTGATTTTCTTGTTATCATTATTTTGGCCCCTAGATCCTTTAGTGACTCCCGTTAGCGGCTGTCCGACCAGCGGTTGTGAGGCGATGGGGATAATGCCACCTGACACAACCAGAGGTCCTACAACGCCGCCCGCCGATGTCACAATAGAGTTAGAGTTTTGTGCTCCGCTGTCATCCAGCTTCCGCTTGCGTTTTCGCTCGCTAGGCGCTCGAGGCAGTTTTTCGGGCGTTAATTCGGCTTCCTTGTCGCTATGTGACGAGCCTGAAGTAATAATGGAAACATGTAGAAACATCAATATATGTATATATATATATATATATATATATATATATATATATATATATATATTGAATGGTAGAATCTTGGATTTGTGTATATTTTGTAGAGTTTCGAACAAGAATCCAAGGCGCTATATATATATATATATATATATATATATATATATATATATATATAGTGCGTGTGTATAATTATATGTAGCTTGCGTTTGTGTGTATGTAACAAAGAATAAAACAATCGGGATTTCAATTAGCTCTAAACTAAACACACAGAACGCACAAATCACGGAAGGCAATGAATATATTTTTATGAAATCATTTATGCGACTCTTTTTTTTAACCTTTTCATCATTCAGAGAAATTTTTCATGAAAACATTAGAATTGTGTAAATATTGAATATAATATAATATAAGACTAGTGGCGTGCATGGCATCGTGCCTTAAGGCAAATTGCAGGAACTTCCCGTACCGTAATTAAAAATTTACACAAAATGTGTAAACCGCACGGAACCCAAAAAAATATACACATAATGTGTACACATTATTAAAATCTCTATAAAATATCTGATAATTTGATGTACATACGCCCATCCAATAAACATTTTTGACTGCCATTTTTTTTTATTGAGAGTCCATAACCGCTGGATTGCCTTCCCAAAAATTTAATCAGTTCTTCATCTTGTCAATACAAGTAAAATGTTTTTTGAATTATTAAAATCGAACGCTCCGTTCTCATAAAAACTGAGTTACCGTTTTTGCCACTTTTTGCATATTTATGCATTTACATTTAAGTGGTATGCAAAGATAAAAGTTGTACTTGATTGTTATCCGGAAAATGGTAAAATATTATTAGATCTTTTAACCAATTTTAGTAGGTGCCACCAAATGAAAGAAAATGTCTGTCCCTTACCACCGGACACTAAGTCGTCCCTTAGTGCCGGACAGTAAACATATTGATATTTCTTGTGAGTATTTACGTAATTTCTAACGCAAACGGTCACTATATACCCCCATTTTTCGTATTTCCTAGTCAAAGAATGAAAAGCTTATGGAAAATACACCAGCTGAGAGCATCGGTGTGGCCCAGCCAAAAGGGTGGATGAATAGTGATTTTTTTTGCAATATCTAAGAATATTCGTCAAAGACACATGTGCAGACATTCCAGAGCGTGGAGATGGCTACATATGTTATCAATGCAGGTTATTTTGAAATGTCCGGTACTAGGTGCTACTATTTAAAATCATATTTTTTGATAGCAAAGTTTGATTGATAGAATTAATTATTTTTTAGCAAAGATTGCGGTTTTGTTAATTTAGTTTGATTTCTAACTTTATTATCTAACAAATCATAATTTAATAAACATTTCGTAAAATATTTTTTGATTTATTTATAAATAACCTTAGGTGTCCGCCACTTGGGGACTTCCCTCTACATCCATTTTTTAAAGTATGCCAAAATGCTCAAAAACCTTTGAAACTTAAAGATACACAAAAAAATTTAAAAAAAACGACGAGATCCCCAACCTAGTAATTCTTTTGCATAATAATCAATATCTTATAATTTCTGTCGTTTCCTACCCCCTTTTACCATAAATTACTGTGGAGTTTCAATTTCAGCAGTCATTTGCAAACATATTTCCTCCCCATTGCCCTGGTTAATGTGTAACTATATTTGAAATTTGAATATGTGAAAATGGGTTACTACAAAAAAAATTAATAGAACATTGAAGTAAATACTCAATTGTCATTTAAGATAGGTGGAAGGAACCATGAAACGACATGTAATTAAAAAATCTATTTATAGGAAAACTCTGAAACTTAACAGAACAAACTTGATAAACATTGGTGAAACTGAAACCCATTTTCAAAAAGATTGGAGGTATATAAAAGCAACCTCAATTCAAATATCGTATGTTCTATAATTATACATAGGCGTTATGTTGCTTTGTAGAATGAAAATATTATGCAAATTATTTTGCATAACAAAACTCACGTGTAAATAATTGAATTATTTGTAAAATCAATTAGTGCTCCAAATAGCAATTTTTTTTAATTGTTACTATATTCTTAACATTTGATCTCGTTATCATAAGTTTTCAATATTGAGAACATTCATATACGAATTGAAAAAAAAAACAGATCTATATATTCCGCTATGTGTTATTTTAATAATAAGATCAACAAATTGCATAATTTATATTTTTATATTCAGGGCGTTTTATAAAAAAAAAAACCCCGTGTTGTAATTGGTGTTCACCAAGTTTTAGTTTACCATAATTTGAATATAATTAAAACTAGTTGAAGGTGCATTTAACCTGAAGGCAAGTTGCATGAACTTCCCGAAATGTGTAAATAATATACTTAATCGATCCAATTTTAGAATAAGCAACTTGATCTGCCTTTAACAATATTTTTTTATTTTATAATTATTAAGAAATTTATATTTATCACTATCATTGATTATAAAAAAAAATATTTTTTATTCTTTTTTATTATTTTTAATATAATAATCTGAATACATAAGTGGTTCTCATTGTGACAAAATTGTATCGACGCATACGATTATTTTTCCAAATTGTAGAAAACGATGATAATTATTATAACTTGATTAAAGTAAAGAATTTCTTGGTCATTTCACGACCTTGGAGACGAAGTATATTTTCTAGGCAGAGGCTTCATATGTTTTTGATTTTTCAAAATAGGTTCGGTAGGATGAGCTTAAATGTGGACGAAAATTTAACACTTTTTTTCAACAGTTAATTACAAGAAAACGGCTCGGTAGATTTTCACCTAAAATTAATCAGCATCATTCCCAACTAATATCTTTCGAACAGTTTTTGATTTTTCAAAATCGGTTCGGTAGGATGAGCTTAAATGTGGACGAAAATTTAACACTTTTTTTCAACAGTTAATTACAAGAAAACGGCTCGGTAGATTTTCACCTAAAATTAATCAGTACCATTCCTAACTAATATCTTTCGAACAGTTTTTGATTTTTCAAAATCGGTTCGGTAGGATGAGCTTAAATGTGGACGAAAATTTCACACTTTTTTTCAACAGTTAATTACAAGAAAACGTATCGGTAGATTTTCACCTAAAATTAATTAGCATCATTCCCAAATGATATCTTTCGAACAGTTTTTGATTTTTCAAAATCGATTTGGTAGGATGAGCTTAAATGTGGACAAAAATTTAACACTTTTTTTCAACATTTAATTACAAGAAAACGGCTCGGTAGATTTCCACCTAAAATTAATCAGCATCATTCCCAAATGATATCTTTCGAACAGTTTTTGATTTTTCAAAATCGGTTCGGTAGGATGAGCTTAAATGTGGACGAAAATTTAACACTTTTTTTCAACAGTTAATTACAAGAAAACGGCTCGGTAGATTTTCACCTAAAATTAATCAGCATCATTCCCAACTAATATCTTTCGAACAGTTTTTGATTTTTTAAAATCGGTTCGGTAGGATGAGCTTGAATGTGGACGAAAATTTAACACTTTCTTTCAACAGTTAATTACAAGAAAACGGCTCGGTAGATTTTCACCTAAAATTAATCAGCATCATTCCCAACTAATATCTTTCGAACAGTTTTTGATTTTTTAAAATCGGTTCGGTAGGATGAGCTTAAATGTGGACGAAAAGTTAAACACTTTTTTTCAAATTACAAAGAAACGGCTTGGCAGATCGTTGCACAAAACTCAGAGACGATAGTCCTCACCAAAATACATCAAATAGCTTTTAAATTTCTAAAATCGGTTCAGGCGTTTTTGAGAAAACGTCGATCAAAAGTCTAATTTTGACAAATGCCAAAAAGACCATACTGATTTTTGCAAACTTTGACGAATTTTTAAAGCTAAACCAGTTGTCGTAGGGCCGTAATATTTTAGTATGACCTAGAAAACTATGGTATCTATCGTCAAAAAAATAATCATAAAAATCGTCGAAATTTTTTTTTTTAAACTTTATTACAAGAAAACGGCCCGGCCGATCTTTACCAAAACTAATCAGCACGATTCCCAACCAATATCTATCGAACGGTTTTTGAATTTTCAGAATCGATTCAGAATTGCAGGCTAAAACGTGGACGAAAAATTTTTCACTTTTCTGCAATTTACAAAGAAACGGCCCGGCCGATCGCCGCACAAAACTCAGAGACGATAGTCCTCATCGAGATACATCAAATGGCTTTTAAATTTTTGAAATCGGTCCAGCCGTTTTGGAGAAAACGTCGATTTACGGCAAAAAATCTGTTCACACACACACACACACACATACACACACACACACACACACACACACATACTTTTTCCAAATTTGGTCTCATTCGATTCAGAATGGCTTGAAACGTCCAGAAAACATAAAATTAGCGATTCGGATTTTTTGATGAAAACATAAACTTCTCCTTCGGGAAGTTAATAATTTACCGATATCAAAACGTTCGATTTATTTTCTGTATTATCAATTTGTACCTATTTTCTCATAGTATACAATATGTTCTAAATTTTTCGTACTAATAATTATACCAGAAGTTCACAATATTTGAAGCTTTAAATTGACTTAAAAATTACTAATAATTTCTATCATAATTAATAATATGAACTATTTTTTTTATCAAACGGTTACTTGAGCCAAATTTTCTTTGCAAGTAATTATTCAGACAAAACGAATATATTGATTATTACTTTCTAGGTAGTACTTTATGTATTTGCATAAAAAAACAATAATATATTTAATTTTGATAAAATTCAGTGTTTCTGCAAGATATTCAACAAAAAAATATTCTTGCCAATGCATGGAATTCATGACTCGTTTATATTGAATTTGCTTTATGAAAAAAAGTAATAATTTAAATATTTATGTTATTATAATTGAGGTAAATTTCCATTTAATTGACTAATAAAAATCATGAAAAAAGCTCAAATTAATTTTATTAGGCAAAATATAATTTGTGATTATATATAAGCAATATTTATCATTTTTAAGTACTTTTATGCGAGCAAAGGTTAATCATCCGACTAAGAAAATGTTTTTTTTTCGAATCATTAACGACATAATTTATAATTTCGAGACCTTCACTAGGATCGTTATCAAAATGTTATTCAAATTACAATTGAATGTGGACTCGAATGATATATTAGCCGCAGATAAGAATAATTTAAAAACAACACAAATTCAATTGTCAGCAATGTGGTTTTTAAAATATAAAGCTGGAATGTAATATATATATATATATATATATATATATATATATATGTGTGTGTGTGTGTGTGTGTGTGTGTGTGTGTATATAAAATATAATTTTTTCGAAGTTGTTTTCAAATATGTACGTTTCGGCCTTCATTCAGTGGAAACTTCAATCCGCGCGTACAGATCGCATACATATTTGCTCCTAGCACCGAATAATTGTTCTGTATTGTATGTTGCCATGTATATTATATATAATTGTAATATTTATATTACAACACGACGATACTATGATGTTATACAGAATTCTTATAGCAAAGGATTATCGGCGTCAGTTCTATTTATTTGTTTTATTATTGAATTGTTTAAAGAATATCGCATTATTTTTTTTAAACATTTATTAGTTTATGTAATATGATTGCAATATTATTAATAAATATTCGAAAAAACGAATCGCAAACCATTTCCGCTTGTTATATTTTGAACTAAAACAAGAAAAAGTAATTTGTTCTGATAACGAAAATATTTCCTATAAGTGAAAACTATTGAGCCGCATATAAATAGTTTAATGGTGATTCACGGGATACACGTATGTGCATTATCGGGGAATGAATACTTTTCATTAAAGATTTTTCAAACAGTTTCTAAATTGAATGACAAAAAAACGTGATTTTCGTGCATTTAGATGAAGATGCATAGATATAGATGGGTGTCACTCCTACTGGTACAAAGCCACAAAACTAACTGCGCATATACATTTTTACTGTTTGAACAAACAGATTCCCAAACATACGACTTAGAAGTCGCATTAGATGGAGTCTGCGTTATAATATACGAACCGATGTCCTTTATATCATTGGGACGAGGAAGAGGTTAAGAAAGCGTTCCATATGTAATCGATCGCGAATTCTCTATTCGCAAAGACGAAGCCTACACTATAGCTACATACAAACACACATTTAAAACGCCACTCAAGTGACATGAACCCATACATACGGAGGCTTATGCTATATACTTACAATCCACAGCGACAACAGCTTGCGAATTACAACTTGTCAAAAAATACTGCATCGCCGAACGGGTTTCTTATATTTTCAAAATATCAATCGAAACCAGCAACCACATCACGCCTATAATTGACACTGAATGATTTTAATACGTAGATCATCCGTCATAATAGCCAAACGTATAACTGCAGCCGAGTTGACAAAAACTTCGACAAACGGTCGACGTCCAGTAGAAATGCGACTTGACAACATCGCTAGAGCACAGCACAAACGCGAAATCTATACACACATTCAATGTCCAAGGTTGTATGCGTGCATTTATAAATGGTTATTTATTCGTGTTATAATGATGTAATATATGCACATGTAGAAATATTTTTGATAAGGTGCAGACCGTAAACGGTATCCGCAACCGTACAGGTAGAGAAGTGTTTTACTAGTGCAACTGACTGACGAAATCGATTGTAGTTCGTGTATGTACCCACTGTACACAGCGTACACCCGCCGATGGATGGTGCGGTATAGTTTTGCTTCCCTTATAGCACAGCCCGCGGAATGGAAGGCTCTCTCCGATCCTACCCACACACAAATCTGCGACAGGCGCTCTCTGTGTGAGTTCTTCATACTCATCCTCAACTGCATTGCACACATACGTGAACACATTTTCCAACATATGCAATATACAGCTTTACATACATACATATGCACAAAGTTCGCATAGCAACAACCTACATCATTCTATATGTATATATTTTCAACAATATATCTACCGAAAGGATATACGCACATATCTGCAGAACAGCACATCCGTGGAATCCACCCAAATTCAATAATGCTACTTCTCGATGCTAATATCGAATATGCCCTCATGTTATTTCACGATACCATAAGAAAAATTAGAAATAATTAGGATAACGAGCAAGCGAACAAAATATTGCATTCTATTTTTATTTCTATCAATATAGAACAAAGTCTTTAAAACTTTGCACATAGAATCGAATTTCAAGCTGCAGCACAGTTATAGAAACCACTGATAAGGACAAAAATTCTTAAGAAATAATCTTGTCATAGTCATATTAAGTTATAGATTTGAGTAGAGTAGGAACTATCAAAAACGCTGGTACTTGAGCTTAGTAAAAAAAAGCTTCATCCTTGAACATCCAAATATGTATCATGAGCAAGCAAACAAAACATTGACCCCGTTTTTTTTCTCAATATAGAAGTCTAACAAAATCTAACAAAAAGAAGTCTAAAGCTTTGCACATAGAATAGAATTTCCGATAAGAACAAAAATTCTTAAAAAATATCTTGACGATAATTCCCTCAAATTAATTTTAGATTTGAGTACAAAGTATGAAGTGTTAGAAACGCTGGTTTCTAAGCTTAAAAAAAAAGGTTCATCCTTGAACATACAAGTGTGCATCATGAGCAAGCAAACAAAATATGCAATATTTTCTTCCCCGTTCTTATTTCTATCAATATAGAACAAAAGAAGTTTTTAAAGCTTTGCACATAGAATAGAATTTCAAGCTGCTGCACAGTTTGGAAACCCTGATAAGGACAAAAATTCTTAAAAAATAATCTTGGCCATAACTAATTCCCTCAAACTAGTTATTTGATTTGAGTAGAAAGTAGGAAATATTAGAAAAGCTTGTATCTGAACTTAGTAAAAAAAAAAGCTCATCCTTGAACATACAAGTATGTATCATGAGCAAGCATACAAAATATTGACCCCGTTTTTTTCTCTCAATATAGAACAAAAAGAAGTCTTTAAAGCTTTGCACATAGAATAGAATTTCAAGCTGCTGCACAGTTTGGAAACCCCTGATAAGGACAAAAACTCTTAAAAAATAATCTTGGCCATAACTAACTAATTCCCTCAAACTAGTTATTTGATTTTAGTATAAAGTAGGAAATAAGAAACGCTGGTAACTGAGCTTAGTAAAAAAAAAGCTTCATCCTTAAACATACAAGAATGTATTCATGAGCAAGCAACCAAATATTGCACCCCGTTTATATTTCTATCAATATGGAACAAAAGAAGCCTTTAAAGCTTTGCACATAGAATAGAATTTCAAGCTACTGCACAGTTTAGAAACGCCTGATAAGGAAAAAAAATTCTTAAAAAATTATCTGGACCATAACTAACTAATTCCCTCAAACTAGTTATAGAATTGAGTAGAAAGTAGGATGTATTAGAAACCCTGGTACCTGAGCTTAGAAAAAAAAAGCTTCATCCTTGAACATACAAGTATGTACATGTTCATTGCCTGAACATAGTTATTTATAGGTGTTACAAAAAATTCCATGACTTTTTGTGCTTTTTGTCGAGTTTGAATAACATACTAACGTCATTCGTAGATTATCTTATCAGAATGATTGTAATTCGAACATATTTAACAAAAAAAAATCGATAATATTGCAATTATAATTCACAGCGATTCACGTAACATTGATTATTAGAATTCGGTAAAGCCTCAAATAGACTAAGTTCATTCATAGTAGATTCAAGTCATTTTGAAAATATCATACATAATATCATGCTTAGTAGTTTTAAATATACCTTAAACACACATACACATTGTATTATATATAAAATATTTTTTATTGGGTGCTCGAAGATTTCAAACCAGACGCACATTCTATATCTTTAAATTAAGATTTAAGAAGCTAAAATTTAAATTCAGAACAAATAACAAAAAGCAATAATCTTTCAAAAATTTAAGAACTTTTTCAAAAAGAAAGACGTGACCATCCGAAATCTCGAAGAAATATAGTTATAATGACATAACTGAAATAATATTAAAATCAAACTATTGTGTAGCTTTTAAATTGAAACTTTTTAAATTGTAACTTTTTAAATTGTAACTTTTTAAATTGTAACTTTTTAAATTGTAACTTTTTAAATTGTAACTTTTTAAATTGTAACTTTTTAAATTGTAATTTTTAAATTGTAATTTTTAAATTGAAAAAAAAAACGCGAAATTTACATCTGCTGTGTGTTCAAATTCATATCTTCTAACAAAATATTTTAACAAAAACGCAAAGTTCAACTTAGGTTTTTGACCTCTTTACTTATATTACTAGACATTGATAAGTTGCATTACAGAACCACCGACAGCAAGCCAGCTTTAACACACAAGAGAAAATACTATACACTTCTTACATTTTATAAATATTAGAAAAACCTAACAAGTTTATTCAATTACATTAACGGTATAAAACTTGGAATAAATCTTGCTATTGAGTTTATTTCTATATAAAATATATTTATATATTTTTATAATATTTATAATGTGTCAACTTACTTTGCAGTGCTTTCTAGAAAATTTCATTCCATTTAATATTTGTTTTTATTAATTGAATTTAATTTGATGTTCTGTAGCAGTATAGATAAGATTAACGTTGTTTATTACGTTATTTGATAATTTTATATAATCATACATAATAATAGTTATGATATGCAAAAGTTTGTATCTTTGATGTATTCACCAGTGATGTGCATTTTCAATTTGCTCCCAAATACTGAGTTAAATAATGTTAATATTGACAATTCAATTTCTAGAATTTTCTAAAATAATTGGTAAAAACGAAATCAATTAAACAAATAATTTCTAGTTTATCCCATTCATCATTTGCCACCCCGCATAAATTCTATAGAATTGTCTTTATTTAAAATGATTAAAATCATTTTTTATAACTTTACTTTCTTTCGTCCTTTAATATTTTCACGCTCACAAAATATGTATCGTTACATAAAATTCAACAAAAATAAGAAAAAATCTAATTTATGTATATATACAGAATCCATAATATAAGAATATTTACTACAGTATTAAATTTTTTAAGCATTATAATTATTTTGTAATATAAATGTCTTCATTCTTCAATAATAATAAAAAAATGGTATTGAAAGAACGGAAAAGTGTATTAATTTGTATGTATGACAGTTTCTATTAATAATTGAAAAAAAAAAAGAGTGTAAGTATGTATATAAAGATACATCACGTTTTCGGTAAGTTGGCTTAAACCAGTGGTGATTTAAAAAAAACGCCTAATTCGTATTTTTAATAATCACAGTCCATTTGGTAGATAGATCATCAAAAGTGTCATTTGAAGTCTAAAAAAAGTATTTAGACAAATACATCATTATTGCGTATTTATAGAGATTTAAAAATATGATAATACTAAAAGTATTTATAGGATTCACGCTGAGGGCATAAGCTTTATTAATATAAAATATTTAAACTATTTGGGTAAAAGAATTTCATCGACAAACGTGAAAACCTAAACCATTCACGTAGCTTCCTAAATGACAAAAAAAATTTACATAATATCAAATGCAGGAAAAAATAAATTATCTTTTATATCAAATCGATACTTTAGCCTTTTTATAATGACATTACATACTCTCATTTAAAAGTGTTCATTTCACTCATAGAATAAATCGCACAAAATATAGATGAGTTAACCATTGGGTTATCATATGATAATAATGATAGTTCTGATAAAAGTGAGAATATAAAAAAAATAGTTTGAGTTATTATTTTCTTAAATACTTACTGAACCAATATTTTAATTTGCCATTTTCATATAGATTTTTGAAGTATAAATTTTATTCCTTTGATATTTGTTTATACCACAGAATGTTTGCCTAATTTGCCTAAAACGTATGCATAACTACGATACTAAATCCGAAAAAAATCACTCAAATTCTAAATAATTTCAAGAGCATCTCAAAATAACGTTGTATTGTACAACAATTTGTATTTTCCACTTTTTGACCAATTCCTTTATAATTTTCCAAATCTTTCCCTTAAAGAGCCCATAAATTATTGTAGATGACGTATATTGTAGAGACATTGATTTGATGAATATCTAACTTACCGGTGCTCATGTTAGAGTCCTGACTATGGACCGTCTGTTGTCCCGTGTGTGCAGTCGCTTGAGGCGCCATCTGCAGTTGCGAACCGGCGGACATCTACAACGAAAACAATAAGGTTAGGTAACATAATTTGGGTTAAAAGTTTCGTTAAACCATATTAACGAAATGATATTGTTCAAATAAACTAGTTGAAAGTAGCATTTATCCTTAAGGCAAGTTGCATAATCTTCCGATACATATGCATAATCAACGTAATCAATGAGAGTTGAGATTCAGATATTTAGGTATAATGTTTAACTGTTTATTTCGAAAAAAAAATTTAACTTCGTTAAAAACGATTTTCAATTTA